TGGGTGGGTGGGTGAGTGGGTGGGTGGGTGAGTGGATGGGTGAGTGGGTGGGTGAGTGGGTGGATGGGTGGGTGGATGGGTGGGTGAGTGGGTGGATGGGTGGGTGAGTGGGTGGGTGGGTGGGTGAGTGGGTGGGTGGGTGAGTGGATGGGTGGGTGAGTGAGTGAGTGAGTGGGTGGGTGAGTGGGTGAGTGGGTGGGTGGATGGGTGGGTGGGTGGGTGAGTGGGTGAGTGAGTGGGTGAGTGGGTAGGTGGATGGGTGGGTGAGTGGGTGGGTGAGTGGGTGAGTTGGTTGGTGGGTGGGTGGATGAGTGGGTGAGTGGGTGGGTGGGTGGGTGGATGGGTGGGTGGGTGGATGGGTGGGTGGGTGGATGGGTGGGTGGGTGGATGGGTGGGTGGGTGGATGGGTGGGTGGGTGGATGGGTGGGTGGGTGGATGAGTGGGTGTGTGGATGAGTGGGTGGGTGAGTGAGTGGGTGGGTGGATGGGTGGGTGGGTGAGTGGGTGGGTGGGTGGGTGAGTGGGTGGGTGGGTGAGTGGGTGGGTGGGTGAGTGGATGGGTGGGTGGGTGGATGGGTGGGTGGGTGGGTGGATGGGTGGGTGGGTGGATGGGTGGGTGGGTGGGTGGATGGGTGGGTGGGTGGGTGGATGGGTGGGTGAGTGGGTGGATGGGTGGGTGAGTGGGTGGATGGGTGAGTGGATGGGTGGGTGAGTGGGTGAGTGAGTGAGTGAGTGGGTGGGTGAGTGGGTGAGTGGGTGGGTGGATGGGTGGGTGGGTGAGTGGGTGAGTGAGTGGGTGAGTGGGTAGGTGGATGGGTGGGTGGGTGAGTGGGTGAGTGGATGGGTGGGTGGGTGGATGGGTGGGTGAGTGGGTGGGTGGGTGGATGGGTGGGTGGGTGGGTGGATGGGTGGGTGGGTGGGTGGATGGGTGGGGTGGGTGGGTGAGTGGGTGGGTGGGTGAGTGGGTGGGTGAGTGAGTGGGTGGGTGGGTGGATGGGTGGGTGGGTGGGTGAGTGGGTGGGTGGGTGAGTGGGTGGGTGGGTGAGTGGGTGGGTGGGTGAGTGGGTGGGTGAGTGGGTGGGTGGGTGAGTGGGTGGGTGGGTGAGTGGGTGGGTGGGTGAGTGGGTGGGTGGGTGGGTGGGTGAGTGGGTGGGTGGGTGAGTGGGTGGGTGGGTGGGTGGGTGGGTGGGTGAGTGAGTGGGTGAGTGGGTGGGTGGGTGGTTGAGTGAGTAAGTAGGTGGGTGAGTGGGTGGGAGGGTGAGAAGATGGGAGGGTGAGTGGGTGGGTTTGTGGGTGGGTAAGTGGGTGGGTGAGTCGACAGGAGGGTGGGAGGGTCAGTGGGTGAGTGAGTGGGTGAGTGGCTGGCTGATTGGGTGAGTGGGTGGGAGGGTGAGTGGGACGTTCAGTGGGTGAGTGCTTGGGTGGATGAGTGGAGGGTGAGTGGGTAGGTGGGAGCAATCCACAGACTCACACAGAGATCCATAAAGGCCCACAGCCTCGCACAGCAGAATCATCATCAGCAGCATCATCATCAGGTTCAGCAGAATCATCATCAGCAGCATCAGCAGTATCATCAGGTTCAGCAGAAGCAGCAGCATCAGCATCATCAGCAGCATCATTGTCAGGTTTAGCAACATCAGTAGCAGCAGCATCATCAGCAGCAGCATCATCAGCAGCAGCAGAATCATCAGCGGCAGGCAGCAGTTATGACATTGTTCATAATTCACCAGAATCATCACATTTCATGCTGGTGCTGATGATAGTGATGATGGTGATGATCGTGATGCTGGTAATGATGATCGCGTTGATTGTTGATTATGATGATGCTGATCATGATGCTGCTGGTGATGATGATGATGCTGGTGATGATGATGCTGGTGATGATGATGCTGGTGATGATGTTGATGATGATGCTGGTGATGATGATGCTGATGCTGGTGATGATGATGATGCTGGTGATGATGATGATGATGATGCTGGTGATGATGATGATGCTGGTGATGATGATGCTGGTGATGATGATGCTGGTGATGATGATGATGCTGCTGATGATGATGCTGGTGATGATGATGGTGGTGATGATGATCCTGATGATGATTATGAGGCTGCTGACTATCGTGATTATGATGGTGTCGATGCTGATTATTTTGATGATGATGATGCTGATGATGAATTATGCATAACGGTGGCGATGCTAATGATGATGTTAACTGTGATTTCTGCCGATTATAACTTAGCCCTTGCTACTGCTATAATTTACAGCAATTAATCAGCTGATGATACTTCTGATGACTCTACTGCAACTACTTTTACTGCTGCTGCTGATGATGATGATACTGCTACTACTACTGATGATGATGATGATCCTGCTGCTACTACTGATGATGATACTACTACTGATGATGATGATGATGATAGTGATACTGCTACTACTGATGATGATGATGATAGTGATACTGCTACTACTGATGATGATGATAGTGATATTGCTACTGATGATGATGATGATAGTGATATTGCTACTACTACTGATGATGATGATACTGCTACTACTGATGATGATACTGCTACTACTGATGATGATACTGCTACTACTACTGATGATAATGATACTACTGCTACCCCTACTGATGATACTGCTACTACTACTGATGATGATCATAATACAACTACTGCTAACACTGACAACACTGATTGGGCGCGTCACGGCGGCCATGTTTCCTGGGGAGTGGTCGTCACGTCGGCCATGTTGCCTGGGGAGTGGGCGTCACGTTGGCCATGTTGCCTGGGGAGTGGTCGTCACGTCGGCCATGTTGCCTGGGGAGTGGGCGTCACGTCGGCCATGTTGCCTGGGGAGTGGTCGTCACGTCGGCCATGTTGCCTAGGAGGGGTCTCACGTCACATCGGCCATGTTGCCTGGGAGGGGTGGGCGTTAGGTCGGCCATGTTGCCTGGGGGGGGGCGGGGGTTGGGCGTTACGTCGGCCATGTTGCCTGGGGAGTGGGCGTCACGTCGGCCATTTTTCCTAGGGGTGGGGGGGGCGTCACGTCAGCCATGTTGCCTGGGGAGTGGGCGTCACGGCCATTTTTCCTGGGGAGGGGGGTGGAGGCGTCACGTCGGCCATGTTGCTTAGGGGGGTGGATGTCACGTCGGCCATGTTGCCTGGGGGGGGGGGAGAGGTGTGTCACGTCGGTCATGTTGCCTGAGTGGGTGGGTGTCACGTCGGCCAAGTTGCCTGAGGGGGGGGGGGGGCGTCACGTCAGCCATTTTTTCTAGGGGGGGGGGGGTCGGGGTGGCGGGCGTCACATCAGCCATATTGCCTAGGGAGAGGACGTCATGTCGGCCATGTTGCCTGGGTTGAGGGGGTGTCACATCGTCCATGTTGCCTGGGGGGACGTCACGTCGGTGGGGTGTAATGTCACGTGCGCCGTGGTGGGGGGGGGGGAGTTTATCACGTGGGCCGTGTTGGGCAGGGGTTTCTCTTCCTCGCATCCGATTGGCCGGTGCGGGGAGTCACCAGCAACTTACTCGGGAGAAATCTTAAGGATCCCTGGATCCTGGATCCTGACCTAAAGCTTCCAGCTGCTAACGCTACTACTCATGATGATGATGCTGCTGCTGCTTCCGCAACCATTGCCAATCATCGTTCGCCTGGCTCCCACATTCCCACAACCCAGATCCTAGATCCCAGACCCCAGATCCCTGACCCCTGACCCCAGATCACAGATCCCTGACCCCAGATCCCAGATCTCAGATCCCAGATCCCAGACCCCAGATCCCAGACCCCAGATCCCAGACCCCAGATCCCTGACCCCTGACCCCAGATCCCAGATCCCTGACCCCAGATCCCAAACCCCAGATCCCAGATCCTAGATCACAGACCCCAGATCCCAGACCCCAGATCCTAGATCACAGACCCCAGATCCTAGATCACAGACCCCAGACCCCAGATCCTAGATCCCAGACCCCGGACCCCAGATCCCAGATCCCGGACCCCAGATCTCAGATCCCAGACCCCAGATCTCTGACCCCTGACCCCAGATCACAGATCCCTGACCCCAGATCCCTGACCCCAGATCCCAGATCCCAGACCCCAGATCCCAGACCCCAGATCTCAGATCCCAGACCCCAGATCCCAGACCCCAGATCCCAGACCCCAGACCCCAGATCTCAGATCCCAGACCCCAGATCCCTGACCCCAGATCACAGATCCCTGACCCCAGATCCCTGACCCCAGATCCCAGACCCCAGATCCCAGATCCCAGACCCCAGATCTCAGATCCCAGACCCCAGATCCCTGACCCCTGACCCCAGATCACGGATCCCAGACCCCAGATCTCTGACCCCAGATCCCTGACCCCAGATCCCAGATCCCTGACCCCAGATCCCAGACCTCAGATCCCAGACCCCAGATCCCAGACCCCTGACCCCAGATTCCTGACCCCTGACCCCAGATCACAGATCCCTGACCCCAGATCTCTGACCCCAGATCCCTGACCCCAGATCCCAGACCCCAGATCCCAGATCCCAGACCCCAGATCTCAGATCCCAGACCCCAGATCCCTGACCCCAGATCACAGATCCCTGACCCCAGATCTCTGACCCCAGATCTCTGACCCCAGATCCCTGACCCCAGATCCCTGACCCCAGACCCCAGATCCCAGACCCCTGACCCCAGATCCCTGACCCCAGATTCCAGATCCCGGCTCTTTCCCTGCTCGCTCGGAATCGGTGGACGTGGAATTTGAATCTCCAGTGGGGTGGAGGGAGCAGATCTGAAGTGGCCCTCCTCCTCCACCTCCTCTACCCCCCCTCCTCCTCCACCTCCTCTACCCCCCCACCCACCCCTCCACCTCCTCTACCCCCCCACCCACCCCTCCACCTCCTCTACCCCCCCACCCACCCACCCCTCCACCTCCTCTATCCCCTCCTCCCCCTCCTCATCTCCTCCACCCCCTCCTGTGCTCCATCTCCCCCCTCCTCGACCTCTTCTCCCCCCCCCTCCTCCACCTCCTCCACCTCCTCTCCCCCCCCCCCCCCCTCCTCCTCCACCTCCTCTCCCCCCCTCCTCCTCCTCCTCCCCCCTCCTCTACCTCCTCATCCCCCTCCTCCCCCCTCCACCTCCCTCCTCCACCTCCTCTCCCCCCCCCCTCCACCTCCTCTCCCCCCCCCCCTCCTCTACCTCCTCATCCCCCTCCTCCTCCACCTCCTCCCGCTCCTCTACCTCCTCATCCCCCTCCTCCCCCCCCCTCCACCTCCCCCCTCCACCTCCTCTCCCCCCCCCCTCCTCCTCCACCTCCTCTCCCCCCCCCTCCTCCACCTCCTCCCCCCTCCTCTACCACCTCATCCCCCTCCCCACCTCCCTCCCTCGCCCTCCACATCCTCCACCTCCTCTACCCCCTCCTCCATCCCCCTCTCCTCCTCCCCCCCCCCCCCGTGTGATGTAGGGAGTGGGTGCGCTATCGGGGGGCGCTCTGGTTGCATCGGTAAGGAGGCGGGGGAGTGGGGAACGCGTGCGAGTAAATAAATAAATAAATAGCCCTGGCGCGCTGAGCGAGCCTTGCTGACTCGCTCAGCCACTCGCTCAGCCACTCGCTCAGCCACTCGCTCAGACAGTCACTCACTCGCTCACTCGCTCAGCCACTCACTCAGTCACTCACTCGCTCAGCCACTCACTCAGTCACTCACTCAGTCACTCACTCGCTCATTCGGTCGCTCGCTCACTCACTCGCTCACTCAGCCACTCGCTCAGCCACTCACCCACTCAGCCGCTCACTCACTCAGCCACTCGCTCACTCACTCACTCAGCCGCTCACTCAGCCACCCGCCTGCTCAGCCACTCACTCACTTAGCCGCTCACTCAGCCGCTCGCCTGCTCATCCACTCACTCACTTAGCCGCTCACTCACTCGCTCAGCCACTCACTCGCTCAGCCACTCGCTCAGCCACTCGCTCAGCCAGTCACTCACTGAGCCAGTCACTCACTCGCTCACTCGCTCAGCCACTCATTCGCTCAGCGACTCACTCACTCAGCCACACGCTCACTCATTCGGTCGCTCGCTCACTCACTCGCTCACTAACTCACTCGCTCGCTCAGCCACTCACTCACTCAGCCACTCGCTCACTCACTCGCTCGCTCAGCCACTCACTCAGCCGCTCACTCAGCCACCCGCCTGCTCAGCCACTCACTCACTTAGCCACTCGCTCAGCCACTCACTCACTCAGCCACTCGCTCATTCATTCGCTCAGCCACTCGCTCAGCCACTCGCTCGCTCCCTCACTCGATTATCCGCTCGCTCACTCACTCGCCCACTCACTCAGTCACTCACTCGCCTACTCACTCTGTCACTCATTCACTCACTCAGCCACTCGCTCACTCACTCAGCTACTCAGTCACTCTCACACGAAGACAAAGATCCCCCGTGTAGCCTCTAACAGTGCTGTAGGGGCAAGTGCCGTTAGCAGCAGCAGCCCCTATGAAGGCTACCGGCACTGTGGCTACACACACAGAGGGGGTGGGTGGCCAGCACCACCACGCCCGGCCGCCTTTGTCTCTCCCCCAGTGCTGGCGATGTTCACACAGACAAGCGCACGCATAGACAAAGGCACACACAGGAAGAGAGACACAGGCACACACATAGACACACACATAGACACACACATAGACACACAGGCACACACACAGACACACACGTAGACACACACACACGTAGACACACACACAGACACACACATAGACACACAGGCACACACGCAGACAACAACAACCGCCATTCGCCACTAAGTGGCGGTGACGTCACTACGACGCTTGTGCCAGGCTATGTGCACCTTGCGGCCACGTGAAGTGTCAAACGCCCGCTGGCAGGAGGTCACGGGGCAGACCCAGGTGCCACGGGTCGACTGACTGAGATGACTGAGATGGCTGGCTGATGCACCACCTGCGCCCCCTACTGTGCCAACCTGCTGTGCTTTAGCCACCCGGCGCTCCGCTCGTTGTTGTGAGCGTCGCTCCTCCGCCCTCCGTTGTTGTTGGAGGGCGACTACCTCCAACTGCCCAGTAGCAGCGTCCTTCACGAGCCTCCTCCACAGAGGCCGATCTTGACACCGCTGGTACCAGTCATGGCTCTGACTCCCAGCCACATAGTGTTACCCGGGCCCGCTCACCATCATGAAGGTCCTTAATGATCGTGAGCAGAGGGTCAGGGACTCCGAAAGCACGAAGAACAACCCAGAGGCCAGGCCTCCTGATGGTATCATAGGCCTTGACCAGGTCAATAAAGCAGAGATGTAGGTCTTGTTGGAATTCCCTACACCTCTGCTGTAGCAGACGGACATAAAATATGGCATCTGTGCAGGACCGCCCTTTCCTGAAACCGCATTGGGGCTCCGCAAGCCTCTCCTCAGCGTGCCTGGCAAAGGCGATGTTGAATAATCCTTGCCAGGACCTTTCCCGGCACACTGAGGAGTGAGATGCCCCTGTAGTTGTTACAGTCTGTGCGGTCCCCCTTCTTAAAGAGGGGGACCACCAGGGCATCCTTCCAATCCTCCAAAACAACCCCCTACCTCCTCGCGGTGCCGGACGGGCAACTCTGTCGTGGACAGTGCCGATTGGCTCCTCCCCTCATGGCGTCTGTGACCACCACAGGGGCTAAACGGGGGCTCTGGACGGGTGCGAGGGGCTGGTAACCCCTCCACCTTCAATTAATTACCACGAAATCATGAATTAAATATGTAACACGCAGATATGCACACACAGACACACACATAACACACACACGCACACATGGATGCACACACACATAGATGCACACACAGACACACACACGTAACACACACACACACAGAACACACACACACATAGACGCATAGATGCACACAGACGCACGCATTGACACACACACACAGACACACACAGACACACACAGACACACACAAACACACACACAGACACACAGACAGACACACACAGACAACAACAACCGCCATTCGCCACTAAGTGGCGGTGACGTCACCACGACGCTTGTGCCAGGCCATGTGCACCCTGAGGCCACGTGAAGTGTCGAACGCCCGCTGGCAGGAGGTCACGGGGCAGACCCAGGTGCCACGGGTCGACTGACTGAGATGACTGGCTGATGCACCACCTGTGCCCCCTACTGTGCCAACCTACTGTGCTTTAGCCACCCGGCGCTCCGCTCGTTGTTGTGAGCGTCGCTCCTCCGCCCTCCATTGTTGTTGGAGGGCGACTGCCTCCAACTGCCCAGTAGCAGCGTCCTTCACGAGCCTCCTCCACAGAGGCCGATCTTGACACCGCTGGTACCAGTCATCGGCAAGTCCACTCAGCTCCACGTCCTCCTGTACCACATCACTCCATCTCTTCTCTAGCCCGTGCCGCGCCCGTTCAGCCCCCTCGATCCGGCCGAACAAAAGCTGTTTTGGCATGCGGTGGCTGGGCATGTGGGCTACATGACTCAGCCAACGCAGCCTTGCCTGCCGGAGGAGCTCACCGATGGGACCTTGCCCAGATCTTTCAAGGATTTGTGAGCTCCTCACACAATCCAGCCAGGTTAAACCCAGAATGGATCGTAGGCAGGCTAGCCTAAATGTTTCTAACCGGCGAAGATGTTCCATTAGGGGGGTCCATGTTTCGCAAGCGTAGAGAAGGGAGGGAATGACCGTGGCCGAGAAGACCTGAAGCTTAGTGCGGAGCGACAGACCAGGTAGCTTCCACACAGCGTTACGCAACCGATGAAAAGATATTGCCGCTCGACTGATTCGGAGTGAAACCTCTGCTGTTAATCTGGAGCCGGTCATAAGCACACTGCCCAGGTATGGGAAACTCTCCACTCTCTCCACAACTGCCCCATCACCGATAGGGAGTTGTTGGGGTGGAGTGTCCGATGGCACAAAATACCCAGGCAGGTGCTTAGTTTTGGTGGGGCTGATGGTAAGGCCCCATCTCTTAGTGGCACGCTCCAGTCTCAGCAGCAGCGTCTCCAACTCCTCCTCTGAATGAGCAGCTATTACCAAATCATCGGCATACATAACGTGGTTGAGCAATAGGGAGCCATCCCTTGACCGCACCCAGGCATCGATCAGCCTCCCATTATATCTGTACCAAATGGAGATTCCCCCGGTACAGCTATTGAAAGCTTCACGAACTACGTGGTCAAAATGTGGGAGCCAGAGGACATCCCTGTCGCACCCCAAGGTGTACAGGGAATGGCTCTGACTCCCGGCCACGTAGTTTTACCCGGGCCTGCTCACCATCATGAAGGTCCTTAATGATCGTGAGCAGAGGGTCAGGGACTCCAAAAGCACGAAGAACAACCCAGAGCCCAGGCCTACTGATGGTATCATAGGCCTTGACCAGGTCAATAAAGCAGAGATGTAGGTCTTGTTGGAATTCCCTACACCTCTGCTGTAGCAGACGGACAGAAAATATGGCATCTGTGCAGGACCGCCCTTTCCTGAAACCGCACACACAGACACACACACATACACACACAGACACACAGACACACACACACAGACACACACACAGACACACACACAGACAGACACAGACACACACACACAGACACACACACAGACACACACACACAGACACACACACAGATACAGACACACACACAGACTCACACACAGTCTCACACACAGACAGACACAGACACACACACACAGACTCACACACAGACACACAGACACACACATACACACACACACAGACACACACACACAGGCTCACACACAGACACACACACAGACACACACACAGACACACACAGACACACACAGACACACACAGACACACACACAGACACACACACAGACACACAGACACACACACAGACACACACACAGACACACAGGCTCACACACAGACACACACAGACAGACACACAGACACACACAGACACACACAGACACACACACAGACACACACACACACACAGACACACACACACAGACACACAGACACAGACACACACACAGACACACACACAGACACACACACAGACACACACACAGACACACAGACACACGCTCTCCTCCTATCTGACAGTAACACGCTAATGTCTCACATTAACATCACTTAGCCCGGCCACTTCTTAACGATGACATTTGGGCTACATTTTAAAAATAATCAGCAGCAGCAGGCCACGCTTTCACACCTGATGACTGACGCTGGTGTTGTGCCCGAAACGTCGTGAATTTATTTTAATTTCTACCTACGTGACTTTACCCAACGAACCACAGAGTAACAGTAACAATATATTCACTAAATATATAAGCAATATATAAACACTGTATAATATATCAACTATATAAACATATAAACACTATGGAATATATAAATGATATATAAACAATAACAATACATAAACAATATGTAAACACTATATAATATATAAACAATATAAATAATATATCAACAATAACAATATATGAACACTATATAATATATAAACAATATAAATAATATATAAACAATATAATATATAAATAATATATAAACAATAACTATATAAACACTATATAATATATAAACAATATAAATAATACTTGAATAATATATCAACAATAACAATATATGACCACTATATAATATATAAACAATATAAATAATATATAAACAATATATAAACACTAATATATAAATAATATATAAACAATAACAATATATAAACAATGTATAAACACTATATAATATATAAACAATATAAATAACATATCAACAATAACAATATATAAACACTATAATAAATCAACAATATAAATACTATATAAATAATATATCAACAAAAACAATATATAAACAATATGTAAACACGATGTAATATATCAACAATATAAATAATATATAAACAATAACAATATATAAACAATGTATAAACACTATATAATATATAAACAATATAAATAACATCAACAATAACAATATATAAACACTATAATAAATCAACAATATAAATACTATATAAATAATATATCGACAAAAACAATATATAAACAATATGTAAACACGATATAATATATCAACAGTATAAATAATATATAAACAATATATAAACAATAACCATTTAATCGATCGTAAAAATCCACATCTTTCAGTCCATATTCTTGGTTCTTTGGGGTAAAATTCACGTAGAAGGGAAAAAATTAAATAATGTAATTTAAAACAATAAAATAAATAACGCCGTTTCGTTTCCAACGCAAGCGACCACCATCAGGGTGGGAAAACCACGGCAAGAGTAATTTTTGGGGGGGGGAAAAAAATGTGGAAAAAATAGTTTAAAAAATAATTTTGACAATTTTTTTTTTTAAGTTTGAAAAAAAAAATTGAAAAGTTTTTTTACATTTTTTTTAAATTGCTGTAGTTTTCCCACATAATGATTGCTCTGCGTTGCAATCGAAACGTCGTGATGCATTTTATTGTTTACATTTGCATTATGGATAAAAAAATTGGAAGAAATTGTTTAAAAAAAAATTTTGGCCAAATTCAATTCTTTTTTAAAGTTGGAAAAAAAAATTTTTAGAAAAATTTGTTTTCCATTTTTTTATTTGCTGTGGTTTCCCCACGTAATGATGATTGCTTTGCGTTGCAATCGAAACGTGGTTAATTTTATCGTTTACATTTGTATTATGGAAAAAAAAATTGGAAGAAATTGTTTGAATGATTTTTTTTTGCCAAATTCAATTCTTTTTTAAAGTTGGGGAAAAAAAATTTTTAGAAAAAATTTGTTTTACATTTAAAAAAAAAATTTTGCTGTGGTTTTCCCACCTAATGATGATTGCTCTGCGTCACAACCGAAACGTCGTGATTCATTTTATCGTTTGTATTATGGAAAAAAATTGGAAGAAATTGTTTGAAAAAATGTTTTTTGCCAAATTCAATTCTTTTTTAAAGTTGGGAAAATTTTTTTTTTTAATTTGTTTTACGTTTTTTAAAAAAAAAAATTGTTTAAAATTTTTGCTGTGGTTTTCCCACCTACTGATGATTGCTCTGCGTCACAACCGAAACGTCGTGATTCATTTTATCGTTTGTATTATGGAAAAAAATTGGAAGAAATTGTTTGAAAAAAATTTTTTTGCCAAATTCAATTCTTTTTTAAAGTTGGGAAAAAAATATTTTTTTTTTAAAAAAAATTTGTTTTACGTTTTTTTAAAAAAAAAATTTGTTTAAAAATGTTGCTGTGGTTTTCCCACCCAATGATGATTGCTTTGCGTCGCAACCGAAACGTCGCGATGCATTTTATCGTTTACATTTGTGTTATGGGAAAAAAAATTTGGAAGAAATTGTTTGCAAAAAAAAAATTTTTGGGGCAAATTCAATTCTTTTTTAAAGTTGGAAAAAAATTTTTAGAAAAAAATTGTTTTCCATTTTTTTTAAACATTTTGGCTGTGGTTTCCCTACCCAATGATGATTGCTCTGCGTCGCAACCGAAACGTCGCGATGCATTTTATCGTTTACATTTGTATTATGGGAAAAAAAAATTGGAAGAAATAGTTTGCAAAAAAAAAATTTTTTGGGCAAATTCAATTCTTTTTTAAAGTTTGAAAAAAAAAATTTAGAATTTTTTTTCCATTTTTTTTTACAAAAATTTTTGCTGTGGTTTTCCCACCTAATGATGATTGCTTTGCGTCGCAATCGAAACGTCGCGATGCATTCTATCGTTTACATTTATATAATGGAAAAAAAAATTGGAAGAAATTGTTTGCAAAAAAAATTTTGGGGGCAAATTCAATTCTTTTTTAAAGTGGGGAAAAAAAAATAGAAAAATTTTTAGAAATTTTTTTTTAGAAAAACATTTTTTTAGAAAAAAAAATTTCCATTTTTTTTAACAAAAATTTTTTGCTGTGGTTTCCCCACCCAATGATGATTGCTCTTGCGTCCGTCGCAACCGAAACGTCGCGATGCATTTTTATCGTTTTAAATCTCGTCACCTCATTTGTCTCCCCTTCTGCGGTGGCGACTTTACAAGCCCCCCGAAGGGGAAAGGGGCTCCCCCTGCCTGTGGTTCACGAGGAAACTTTTCAAAACGCGAAGCAAAATCGTCGCGGTCCGCTGTTGAGTGTTGACGCCGGGACAATTCTGTTTGTGCTCCCCCCCCCCTTCGCAGAGCAAAAAACTTGAAGACCTCACCCCTCTGCCAGGTACAGACAAAGCTCCCCCGGGTAGCCTCTGGCAGCGCTGTAGGGGGCAAGTGCTGTGTACACACACACACAGACAAAGCTCCCCCCAGGTAGCCTCTGGCAGGGCTGTAGGGGCAAGTGCTGAGACACACAGACAAAGCTCCCCCCAGGTAGCCTCTGGCAGGGATGCAGGGGGCAAGTGCTGTAGGGGGCAAGTGCTGTGTACACACACACAGACAAAGATCCCCCAGGTAGTCTCTGGCAGGGCTGTAGGGGCAAGTGCTGAGACACAGACAAAGCTCCCCCAGGTAGCCTCTGGCAGCGCTGTAGGGGCAAGTGCTGTGTACACACACAGACAAAGATCCCCCAGGTAGCCTCTGGCAGCGCGGTAGGGGCAAGTGCTGAGGCACAGACAAAGCTCCCCCAGGTAGCCTCTAGCAGAGCTGTAGGGGCAAGTGCTGAGGCACAGACAAAGCTCCCCCAGGTAGCCTCTAGCAGGGCTGTAGGGGCAAGTGCTGAGGCACAGACAAAGCTCCCCCAGGTAGCCTCTAGCAGGGCTGTAGGGGCAAGTGCTGAGACACAGACAAAGCTCCCCCAGGTAGCCTCTGGCAGGGCTGCAGGGGCAAGTGCTCAGACACAGACAAAGCTCCCCCAGGTAGCCTCTGGCAGGGCTGTAGGGGCAAGTGCTGAGACACAGACAAAGCTCCCCCAGGTAGCCTCTAGCAGAGCTGTAGGGCAAGTGCTGAGACAGACAAAGCTCCCCCAGGTAGCCTCTGGCAGGGCTGCAGGGACAAGTGCTCAGACACAGACAAAGCTCCCCCAGGTAGCCTCTGGCAAGGCTGTAGGGGGCAAGTGCTGTGTACACACACAGACAAAGCTTCCCCAGGTAGCCTCTAGCAGGGCTGGAGGGGCAAGTGCTGAGACACAGACAAAGCTCCCCCAGGTAGCCTCTAGCAGGACTGTAAGGGCAAGTGCTGAGACACAGACAAAGCTACACCAGGTAGCCTTTGGCAGGCCTGGAGGGGCAAGTGCTGAGACAAAGCTCCCCCAGGTAGCCTCTGGCAGGGCTGCAGGGGCAAGTGCTGTTACACACACAGACAAAGCTCCCCCAGGTAGCCTCTAGCAGGGATGTAGGAGCAAGTTCTGAGACACAGACAAAGCTACCCCAGGTAGCCTTTGGCAGGCCTGGAGGGGCAAGTGCTGAGACAAAGCTTCCCCAGGTAGCCTCTGGCAGGGCTGTAGGGGGCAAGTGCTGTGTACACACACACACAGACAAAAATCTCCCAGGTAGCCTCTAGCAAGGCTGCAGGGGCAAGTGCTCAGGCACAGGTAAAGCTCCCCTAGGTAGCCTCGCAGCGCTGTAGGGGCAAGTGCTGAGGAACAGACAAAGCTCCCCCAGGTAGCCTCTAGCAGGGCTGTAGGGCAAGTGCCGAGACACAGACAAAGCTCCCCCAGGTAGCCTCTAGCAGGGCTGTAGGGGCAAGTGCTGAGACACAGACAAATCTCCTCCAGGTAGCCTCTGGCAGCGCTGTAGGGGGCAAGTGCTGAGACACAGACAAAGCTCCCCCAGGTAGCCTCTAGCAGGGCTTACAGGGGCAAGTGCTGAGACACAGACAAAGCTCCACCAGGTAGCCTCTAGAAGGCCTGGAGGGGCAAGTGCTGTTATACACAGAGACAAAGCTGCCCAAAGTAGCCCCCCATTGCATCCCCACCCACACCACCACCCCCCCACTACCACCACCACCCCCACCACCACCCCCCTACCACCACCACCACCATCACCACCCCCTCCACCACCACCCACCACCACCACCCACCACCACCCACCCACCACCCACCCACCCACCACCCCCTCCACTACCACCACCACCCACCCACCACCCCCTCCACCACCACCCACCACCACCCACCACCACCCACCACCACTACCACCCACCACCACCACCCCAACAACACATTTGTATTTTTTGTTAAATAAAAAAAAAAACCCCAAAAAATCCCCCTGCAGGCATCTCCCCGGACGCCCTCTCTTCCCACGCAGGGGTCCTCGATGCTCCGCCCACCGCCTCCACCGCCACCACCGCCTCCACCGCCTCCACCGCCTTCACCGCCTCCACCACCGCCTCCAGCGCCTCCAGCGCCTCCACCGCCTCCAGCGCCTCCACCGCCTCCACCGCCACCACTGCCTCCACCGCCTCCACCGCCTCCACCACCGCCTCCACCGCCTCCTCCGCCGCGGCAGTGGAAGGCACGGGTCGGCCGGCCCGGCGCTCCGTGTGGCAGGTGGTGGTGTCGGAGTGCCGCCACTACTACCACGGCTTCCGTCTCCTCGGCATCGACACCAAGATCGCCGCTCGCATGCTGTGGAGGATCCTGCACGGGCACACGCTGTCACGCAGGGAGCGCAGACAGGTGGGGTGTGGTGTGGTGGTGTGGTGGTGTGTGGTGGGGTGTTGTGTGGTGGTGTGGGGTAGTGTGGGGTGTTGTGTGGGGTGTAGGGTGGGGTGTAGTGTGGGGTGTAGTGTAGTGTGTGGGGGGTTTGTGTGGTGTTTGTGTGGTGTGGGGTGTAGTGTAGTGTGTGGTGTGGGGTGTAGTGTGGGGTGTAGTGTAGTGTGGGGTGTAGTGTGTGGGGTGTGGGGTGTGTGGTGTGGGGTGTAGTGTAGTGTGGGGTGTGTGTGTGTGGTGTGTGTGGGGTGTAGTGTGAGGTGTTGTGTGTGTAGTGGGGTGTAGTGTGTGGGGTGGGGTGTGGGGGGTTTGTGTGGTGTATGTGTAGTGTGGTGGTTGTGTGGGGTGTAGTGTGTGGGGTGTAGTGGGGTGTGGTGGGGTGTAGTGTGGGGTGTTGTGTAGTGTGGTGTGTGTGTGGTGTTTGTGTGGTGTGGGGTGTAGTGTAGTGTGTGTGGTGTGTGTGTGTGGGGTGTTGTGTGTGTAGTGTGGGGTGTAGTGGGGTGTTGTGTGGTGTGTTGTGTAGTGTGTGGTGTGGGGTGTGTGTGTGGTGTAGTGTAGGGTGTAGTGTGGGGTGTGGTGGGGTGTAGTGAGTGGGGTGTAGTGTGGGGTGTAGTGTGTGGGGTGTGTGTGGTGTTTGTGTGGTGTGGGGTGTAATGTGTGGGGTGTAGTGTGGGGTGTTGTGTAGTGTGTGGGGTGTAGTGTGGGGTGTAGTGTGTGGGGTGTGGGGTGTGTGGTGTGTGTGTGGTGTGGGGTGTAGTGTGTGGTGTGTGTGGGGGGTGTGTGGTGTGGTGTGTGTGGTGTGGTGTGTGTGGTGTATGTGGTGTGTGTGGTGTGTGTATGGTGTGTGTGTGGTGTGGGGTGAGTGAGGTGTTTGTGTGGTGTTTGTGTGTGTGTGTAGTGTGTGTGGTGTGTGTTTGTGGTGAGTGTGTGGTGAGTGTGTGGTGTTTGTGTGGTGTGTGTGGTGTGTGTGTGTGGTGTTTGTGTGGTGTGTGTGGTGTGGGGTGTGTGAGGTGGGTTGGTGGGTGTGGTGTGGTATGTGTAGTGTATGGTGGTGGTGATGATGCGGTGGTGGTGAAAGTGGAGGTGGTGGTAGTTGAGGTAGCGGCGGCGGTGAAGTTGGTGGTGATGGTGAAGGTGGTGGTGGTGATGGTGGTGAAGGTGGTGGTGGTGATGGAGGTGGAGGTGGTGATAGTGGTGATGGTGGAGGTGGTGGTGATGGTGGTGATGGTGGTGAAGGTGGTGAAGGTGGTGGTGATTGGTGAAGGTGGTGGTGGTGATGGAGGTGGAGGTGGTGATAGTGGTGATGGTGGTGAAGGTGGTGGTGGTGAAGGTGGTGGAGGTGGTGATGGAGGTGGAGGTGGTGATAGTGGTGATGGTGGTGGAGGTGGTGGTGGTGATGGAGGTGGAGGTGGTGATAGTGGTGATGGTGGAGGTGGTGGTGATGGTGGTGATGGTGGTGAAGGTGGTGAAGGTGGTGGTGATTGGTGAAGGTGGTGGTGGTGATGGAGGTGGAGGTGGTGATAGTGGTGATGGTGGTGAAGGTGGTGGTGGTGAAGGTGGTGGAGGTGGTGATGGAGGTGGAGGTGGTGATAGTGGTGATGGTGGTGGAGGTGGTGGAGGTGAAGGTGGTGGTGTTGGTGATGGTGGTGGAAGTGGTGGAGGTGTTGGTGGAGGTGGTGGAGGTGGTGGAGGTGGTGGTGGTGTTGGTGATGGTGGTGGAGGTGAAGGTGGTGATGGTTGTGATGGTGGAGGTGGTGGAGGTGGTGGTGGTGGTGGTGATGGTGGAGGTGGTGGTGGTGATGGTGGAGGTGGTGGTGGTGATGGTGGTGATGGTGGAGGCGAAGGTGGTGGTGGTGGTGGTGATGGTGGTGGTGATGGTGGTGGTGATGGTGATGGTGGTGGTGATGGTGGTGGTGATGGTGGTGGTGATGGTGGTGGTGGTGGTGATGGTGGAGGTGGTGGTGGTGATGGTGGAGGTGGTGGTGGTGGTGATGGTGGAGGTGGTGGTGGTGGAGGTGGTGGTGGTGATGGTGGTGATGGTGGAGGCGAAGGTGGTGATGGTGGTGGTGATGGTGGTGGTGATGGTGGTGGTGATGGTGGTGGTGGTGGTGGTGATGGTGGAGGTGGTGGTGGTGATGGTGGAGGTGGTGGTGGTGATGGTGGAGGTGGTGGTGGTGGTGATGGTGGTGGAGGTGATGGTGGTGGTGGTGGTGATGGTGGAGGTGGTGGTGGTGGTAATGGTGGTAATGGTGGAGGTGGTGGTGATGATGGTGGTGGTGGTGATGGTGGTGATGGTGGTGATGGTGGAGGCCAAGGTGGTGATGGTGGTGGAGGTGGAGGTTGTGGAGGTGAAGGTGGTGGAGGTGGATGAGGTGGAGGTGGTGGAGGTGATGGTGGAGGTGGTGGTGGTGTTGGTGGTGGAGGTGGTGGTGGAGGTGGTGGTGGTGAAGGTGGTGGTGAAGGTGGTGGTGATGGTGGTGTTGGTGGTGATGGTGGTGGAGGTGGTGGAGGTGATGGAGGTGATGGTGATGGTGGTGGAGGTGGTGAAGGTGGTGGAGGTGGTGATGGAGGTGGTGGAGGTGGTGATGGTGGTGTTGGTGGTGATGGTGGTGGTGGTGGTGTTGGTGGTGTTGGTGGTGATGGTGGTGGTGGACGTGGTGGAGGTGGTGAAGGTGGTGATGGAGATGGTGATGGTGGTGTTGGTGGTGGTGGTGAAGGTGGTGGTGGAGATGGTGGAGGTGGTGTTGGTGGTGATGGTGGTGTTGGTGGTGATGGTGGTGTTGGTGGTGATGGTGGTGGAGGTGGTGTTGGTGGTGATAGAGGTGGTGATGGTGATGTTGGTGGAAGTGGTGGTGGTGAAGGTGGTGATGGTGGTGTTGGTGGTGATGGAGGTGGTGGAGGTGTTGGTGGTGATGGTGACGGAGGTGATGGTGGTGATGGTGGTGGAGGTGATGGTGATGGAGGTGGTGGAGGTGATGGTGATGGAGGTGTTGGTGGTGATGGTGATGGAGGTGGTGGAGGTGGTGGAGGTGTTGGTGTTGGTGATGGAGGTGGTGGAGGTGGTGGAGGTGTTGGTGATGGTGATGGTGGTGGTGGAAGTGGTGATGGTGGTGATGGTGGTGGAGGTGGTGGTGAAGGTGGTGGTGAAGGTGGTGATGGTGGTGGTGGTGATGGTGGTGGTGAAGGTGGTGTTGGTGGTGGAGGTGGTGTTGGTGGTGGAGGTGTTGGTGTTGGTGGTGATGGTGATGGAGGTGGTGTTGGTGTTGGTGGTCGTGGTGATGGTGGTGGTGATGGAGGTGATGGTGGTGAAGGTGGTGGTGATGGTGGTGGAGGTGGTGGAGGTGATGGAGGTGATGGAGGAGGTGAAGGTGGTGTTGGTGGTGATGGTGGTGATGGAGGTGGTGGAGGTGGTGATGGTGGTGAAGGTGGTGATGGAGGTGATGGTGGTGATGGTGGTGGTGAAGGTGGTGATGGTGGTGAAGGTGGTGATGGAGGTGATGGTGGTGAAGGTGGTGATGGTGGTGATGGTGGTGGTGAAGGTGGTGATGGTGGTGAAGGTGGTGATGGAGGTGATGGTGGTGATGGTGGTGATGATGGTGGTGGTGATGGTGGTGATGGTGGTGATGGTGGTGATGGAGGTGTTGGTGTTGGTGGTGTTGGTGATGGAGGTGGTGGAGGTGATGGTGGTGGTGTTGGTGGTGATGGAGGTGGTGGTGGTGATGGTGGTGATGGTGGTGATGGAGGTGGTGGTGAAGGTGGTGGAGGTGTTGGTGATGGTGATGATGGTGGTGTTGGAGGTGTTGGTGATGGAGGTGGTGATGGAGGTGGTGGAGGTGCTATCCCGTATCCGTGTCACCGTGCGCCCCAGTTCCTGCGGACTTGTGCAGACCTCTTCCGCCTGGTGCCCTTCCTCGTCTTCATCATCGTCCCCTTCATGGAGTTCCTCCTCCCCGTGGCCGTCAAACTCTTCCCAAATATGCTGCCCTCCACCTTCGAGAGCTCCTCCACTAAGGTCGTTCGCTCGCTCACTCGCTCACTCGCTCAGTGACTCACTCGCCCAGTCGCTCGTTCAGTCACTCACTTGCTCAGTCGCTCGCTCAGTCACTTGCTCAGTGACTCACTCGCTCAGCCGCTCGCTCAGTCACTCACTCAGTCGTTCGCTCAGTCACTCACTCGCTCAGTCACTCGCTCAGTCGCTCACTCAGTCGCACACTCACTCATTCACTCGCTCTGTCACTCACTCTGTCAATCAGTCGCTCACTCACTCAGTCGCTCGCTCAGTCACTCACTCAGTCACTCACTCGCTCAGTCACTCACTCAGTCGCTTAGTCACTCGCTCTGTCACTCAGTCACTCGCTCAGTCGCTCACTCGGTCAGTCACTCGCTCAGTCGCTCAGTCACTCACTCAGTCACTCACTCAGTCACTCACTCAGTCACTCACTCAGTCACTCGCTCAGTCACTCGCTCAGTCGCTCACTCGGTCAGTCACTCGCTCAGTCGCTCAGTCACTCACTCAGTCACTCACTCAGTCACTCAGTCACTCACTCAGTCACTCACTCAGTCACTCGCTCAGTCACTCGCTCGGTCACTCACTCACCCACCCACTCACTTACCCTCTCACCCACCCCCTCACCCACCCGTGGAGCAGGAGGAGCGTCTGAAGAAGGAACTCCGGGGTAAGCTGGAGATGGCGAAGTTTCTGCAGGACACCATTGAGGAGATCGCCGTGAGGAACAAAGCGGCCACAGAGAGCTCCACACTCGAGTTCTCCGCGTTCTTCCAGAAGGTTAGCACGTGGTCTCCCCCCACTCTCCCCCCACACTCCCCCCACACTCCCCCCACACTCCCAACACACTCCCCCCACACTCCCAACACACTCCCAACACACTCCCACCACACTCCCAACACACTCCCAACACACTCCCAACACACTCCCAACACACTCCCACCACACTCCCAACACACTCCCCCCACACTCCCCCCACACTCCCCCCACTCTCCCCCCACACTTCCAACACACTCCCACAACTCTCCCCCCACACTCCCCCCACACTCCCCCCACACTCCCCCCACACTCCCCCCACACTCCCACCACACTCCCACAACTCTCCCCCCACACTCCCCCCACACTCCCAACACACTCCCAACACACTCCCAACACACTCCCCCCACTCTCCCAACACACTCCCACCACACTCCCAACACACTCCCCCCACTCTCCCAACACTCTCCAACTCTCCCACACTCTCCCAACACACTCCCAACACACTCCCAACACACTCCCACCACACTCCCAACACACTCCCAACACACTCCCAACACACTCCCCCCACACTCCCAACACACTCCCAACACACTCCCCCCACACTCCCAACACACTCCCTCCACACTCCCAACACACTCCCAACACACTCCCCCCACACTCCCCCCACACTCCCAACACACTCCCCCCACACTCCCAACACACTCCCAACACACTCCCCCCACACTCCCAACACACTCCCAACACACTCCCCCCACACTCCCACCACACTCCCAACACACTCCCAACACACTCCCAACACACTCCCAACACACTCCCACCACACTCCCAACACACTCCCAACACACTCCCAACACACTCCCAACACACTCCCAACACACTCCAACACACTCCCCCCACTCTCCCCCCACACTCCCAACACACTCCCCCCACACTCCCCCCACACTCCCCCCACTCTCCCCCCACACTCCCCCCACACTCCCCCACACTCCCAACACACTCCCAACACACTACCAACACACTCCTACCACTCTCCCCCCACACTCCCAACACACTCCCCCCACACTCCCCCCACACTCCCCCCACTCTCCCCCCACACTCCCCCCACACTCCCAACACACTCCCAACACACTACCAACACACTCCTACCACTCTCCCCCCACACTCCCAACACACTCCCCCCACACTCCCCCCACACTCCACCCACACTCCCAACACACTTCCCCCACTCTCCCAACACACTCCCAACACACTCCCAACACACTCCCACCACTCTCCCACCACACTCCCCCCACACTCCCCCCACACTCCCCCCACACTCCCCCCACACTCCCAACACACTCCCAACACACTCCCCCCACACTCCCCCCACTCTCCCCCCACTCTCCCCCCACACTCCCAACACACTCCCAACACACTCCCAACACACTCCCACCACTCTCCCAACACACTCCCCCCACACTCCCCCCACACTCCCAACACACTCCCCCCACTCTCCCAACACACTCCCAACACTCTCCCACCACTCTCCCAACACACTCCCCCCACACTCCCCCCACACTCCCAACACACTCCCCCCACTCTCCCAACACACTCCCAACACACTCCCAACACACTCCCAACACACTCCCAACACACTCCCACCACACTCCCAACACACTCCCAACACACTCCCAACACACTCCCAACACACTCCCAACACACGCCCACCACACTCCCCCCACTCTCCCCCCACTCTCCCCCCACACTCCCAACACACTCCCAACACACTCCAACACACTCCCACCACTCTCCCAACACACTCCCCCCACACTCCCCCACACTCCCCCCACACTCCCAACACACTCCCACCACTCTCCCAACACACTCCCAACACTCTCCCACCACTCTCCCAACACACTCCCAACACACTCCCAACACACTCCCACCACACTCCCAACACACTCCCAACACACTCCCAACACACTCCCAACACTCTCCCCCCACACTCCCCCCACTCTCCCAACACACTCCCACCACACTCCCAACACACTACCAACACACTCCTACCACTCTCCCCCCACACTCCCAACACACTCCCCCACACTCCCCCCACACTCCACCCACACTCCCAACACACTCCCAACACACTCCAACACACTCCAACACACTCCCACCACTCTCCCAACACACTCCCCCCACACTCCCCCCACACTCCCCCCACTCTCCCAACACACTCCCACCACACTCCCAACACACTACCAACACACTCCTACCACTCTCCCCCCACACTCCCCCCACTCTCCCAACACACTCCCACCACACTCCCAACACACTACCAACACACTCCTACCACTCTCCCCCACACTCCCAACACACTCCCCCCACTCTCCCCCCACTCTCCCCCCACACTCCCACACACTCCCAACACACTCCCAACACACTCCAACACACTCCCACCACTCTCCCAACACACTCCCCCCACACTCCCCCCACACTCCCCACACACTCCCAACACACTCCCCCCACTCTCCCAACACACTCCCAACACTCTCCCACCACTCTCCCAACACACTCCCAACACACTCCCAACACACTCCCACCACACTCCCAACACACTCCCAACACACTCCCAACACACTCCAACTCTCCCCCCACACTCCCCCCACTCTCCCAACACACTCCCACCACACTCCCAACACACTACCAACACACTCCTACCACTCTCCCCCCACACTCCCAACACACTCCCCCCACACTCCCCCCACACTCCACCCACACTCCCAACACACTCCCCCCACACTCCCCCCACACTCCCAACACACTCCCACAACTCTCCCACCACTCTCCCCCCACTCTCCCCCCACACTCCCAACACACTCCCCCCACACTCCCCCCACACTCCCACCACACTCCCCCCACTCTCCCCCCACACTCCCACCACACTCCCCCACTCTCCCCCCCACACTCCCCCCACACTCCCCCCACTCTCCAACACTCCCCCCACTCTCCCACCACTCTCCCACCACTCTCCCACCACACTCCCACCACACTCCCACCACACTCCCAACACACTCCCACCACACTCCCAACACACTCCCAACACACTCCAACTCTCCCCCCACACTCCCCCCACACTCCCAACACACTCCCAACACACTCCCACCACACTCCCAACACACTACCAACACACTCCTACCACTCTCCCCCCACACTCCCAACACACTCCCCCCACACTCCCCCCACACTCCACCCACACTCCCAACACACTCCCCCCACACTCCCCCCACACTCCACCCACACTCCAACACACTCCCCCCACTCTCCCCCCACACTCCCAACACACTCCCCCACTCTCCCCCCACACTCCCACCACACTCCCCCCACTCTCCCCCCACACTCCCAACACACTCCCAACACACTCCCCCCACACTCCACCCACACTCCCAACACACTCCCCCCACACTACCAACACACTCCTACCACTCTCCCCCACACTCCCAACACACTCCCCCCACACTCCCCCCACACTCCACCCACACTCCCAACACACTCCCAACACACTCCCCCCACTCTCCCAACACACTCCCACAACTCTCCCAACACTCTCCACCCACACTCCCCCCACACTCCCCCCACACTCCCAACACACTCCCAACACACTCCCAACACACTCCAACACACTCCCACCACTCTCCCAACACACTCGCCCCACACTCCCCCCACACTCCCAACACACTCCCAACACACTCCCCCCACACTCCCAACACACTCCCCCCACACTCCCAACACACTCCCAACACACTCCCCCCACACTCCCAACACACTCCCAACACACTCCCAACACACTCCCAACACACTCCCACCACACTCCCAACACACTCCCAACACACTCCCACCACACTCCCCCCACACTCCCAACACACTCCCCCCACACTCCCAACACACTCCCAACACACTCCCCCCACACTCCCAACACACTCCCAACACACTCCCAACACACTCCCAACACACTCCCAACACACTCCCACAACTCTCCCACCACTCTCCCACCACTCCCAACACACTCCCAACACACTCCCCCCACACTCCCAACACACTCCCCCCACTCTCCCAACACACTCCCAACACACTCCCCCCACACTCCCAACACACTCCCAACACACTCCCAACACACTCCCAACACACTCCCAACACACTCCCACCACTCTCCCAACACACTCCCAACACACTCCCAACACACTCCCAACACACTCCCAACACACTCCCAACACACTCCCAACACACTCCCCCACACTCCCACCACACTCCCAACACACTCCCAACACACTCCCAACACACTCCCAACACACTCCCACCACACTCCCAACACACTCCCAACACACTCCCAACACACTCCCAACACACTCCCAACACACTCCCCCACTCTCCCCCCACACTCCCAACACACTCCCCCCACACTCCCCCCACACTCACCCCCACTCTCCCCCCACACTCCCCCCACACTCCCCCCACACTCCCAACACACTCCCAACACACTACCAACACACTCCTACCACTCTCCCCCCACACTCCCAACACACTCCCCCCACACTCCCCCCACACTCCCCCCACTCTCCCCCCACACTCCCCCCACACTCCCAACACACTCCCAACACACTACCAACACACTCCTACCACTCTCCCCCCACACTCCCAACACACTCCCCCCACACTCCCCCCACACTCCACCCACACTCCCAACACACTTCCCCCACTCTCCCAACACACTCCCAACACACTCCCAACACACTCCCACAACTCTCCCACCACACTCCCCCCACACTCCCCCCACACTCCCCCACACTCCCCCCACACTCCCAACACACTCCCAACACACTCCCCCCACACTCCCCCCACTCTCCCCCCACTCTCCCCCCACACTCCCAACACACTCCCAACACACTCCCAACACACTCCCACCACTCTCCCAACACACTCCCCCCACACTCCCCCCACACTCCCAACACACTCCCCCCACTCTCCCAACACACTCCCAACACTCT